GCACCAAGTTCAAGTGCCAACATCACCTGGTAAGGCCCCAAACCCAAACCATTAGATATTCGGTGGGAACCCTCTGTCTCCCCTTTAGAAATATCTCTTTCTCTGCATTTCAGTGGCCACCCAGGGAGTTTGGCTTTTTGCAACGCAAACAAAACGTCAGTCAGCCCGAGAGACTGGGGCAAAACCGCGAACTGCTGCCTTGCATTTCGCATTCAGCTGCACGAGCAAAAATCTATAGCAATATTCGATTCAAGGATTCATATTTAGTTATTATATAAAGCTAATCTAATGTGATTAGTATTTAAGTACTCTAAACTAACTTCTCTTTGACAGGTTTAACAAAATCCAGAAGAACTTAAACGGCTGTCGAGATTAGGTTCCGATAGACTTCAAAGCTGAAACAATGAGAAATTTCTACCAAAAATCACTGAATTGGTAACCAATTTCCTCGATACTTCCCTCAGTGTATTTCCAATGATTATCTGCTTCCACAGCGTCTCAATGCTGGGCAAAAATAGTGCGCCGTGTCCGACGGTGTTTACTTTGGCAGCACTTGAAAACAAAAATGCAAAACCGAATCAGCATATAAATCGGCAGACAAATCCCAAAAGTCGGGACCACCCGCGCCGGCGGCGAGAAATGTTTCGAAATTAATTACAATTAAAAGTTTTTGGGGCTGTTTGCCGGAAAGCGGGCGCACCTTGGCCAATAAAATGAAAATTTATGGGTCACACATGAGCGACGGCCCGAGGAAAATGCGTGCCTCCTCAGCTTTCCCAGCCTTATTAATTGGCCGGGCTTATCCGGGGAATCCAAGGCAGTGGTCGCCTCTCAAAGGCTTAGGGCAAATTTGTCTTGCCTTGGGACGACCGCAAGTCAAGGCAGGGATGCACTTTGGAAAAGAGTTTAATCTTCTAGTTAACCAATCCTCCCAAACTCTTTAGTTAAGTTCCATTTCTCTCAGTGCTGAGAGTGTTCTCTGTTCCTGGAAAGGGACGAGGCAAGTGGTTGAGTGGGTTAAGGAGCACTCTCACCTCCGCCTCGGCTCGCCAAGGGATTCAATTTGAGTCTGAGGGCCTGCCACATGTGTGTTGGACTTGATGGCCCAGATAAAACGGCCATTCTTTTGGGTGAGATTGTAACCAATTCCGGGTGCTGGCTGTAGGTAAAGCGATAAGGTTGGATGGATGGAGGGATGGAGCCAGGAGCACACATGCTGGGAACCACATAATAATTCTTGAGAACAATGTAAGCGTCAATTGTGCATGGCCAATGTACGGACGAGTATGTGGGTAGATTCTTTGGCCCGCTCTCCGCCCCCAGAGACAGACCTTTCGCCCACATTTGTGTGCAGACTCCTCAGCCTGAAACTGAGGCTAAGACTGAGACTGAGACTGAGACTGAGACTCAGACATCAGGGGACAAAGACGACAACGTCGGCACATGCCACACGTCAAGTCAAGAAATTTAAATTAAAAACCTTTTTGCATGAAATGTTTCGTTTGCCTGCAAGCATGATGCATATGTTTCCACTAGTTCTGGGGGTTTTCCCAGGGAAATGGATGAGCAGACTGGGGTGAAAGCATTACAATGTACAAGCGAGACTCGGGGAAAAGTTGGACATTGCTGGCTAAGCAAGAAAGTGCTGGATATTAATTGGAAGGGCTTCGAGATGATATATGTACTTAAGATCCAGGTTGTGGTAAAAGGTATTAAGATGCTCTACACTTTCGTGATTTCAATTTGAAAACCACACAATCTTTGGGGAGTGATTCATAGAGAACAAGAAGCTGAAGCTGGTTAGTCAGCAAAGGAAGTGGGTGACCCCAGGTTCACCGAGAGTGAGATCAATTAGGGATCAGAAGATAGTGAGTGAGCTCACTCGGCTCATTTCCTCCGTTTGGCATTGTCTCCGAGTGTGATTAGCTCACTTCTATCAGCATCATTGGGAAAATGAAAAAGCCAGCCACTCGTAAATTTCAGAGCCAGGGCTTTGTGCCTATAAAAGTAAATCAGTTTGAACTCGAACTGCCCCTGCCCCTGCCCCTGCCCCCTCTTATTACTTTCTTCCCCTACCCTCTCCCCTGCGAATATTTTTCTCTCACATATGCCAGTGGCAATTAATTTGCGTGCTTAATTCGCCTAATTATTCCAGGCAATAAAATTTTCAATACACTCAGATGGCGGTGATGGTGATGATGCTGCTGCCGACGAGGACGGGGCTCCCTTTGTCCACACCTAGAAGGGAGGCGAAGGACACGTTTAATTCAATTCGCGAAGGTTCCTTGACTCGAGAACTGCTTTTTATTTATATTTTCCTTCTTGGCTTAGTGGGAATAAAAAGGCGAATAAAAAAACGAGAGCGACATTTAAATTCAAATCGCTGAAGACGCTGACAAAGAAGCGGCGCCACACGTCGGATTAATTTTATGTGCCCCAAGGAGAAGCGTCTCCAGGACATTCCTCGCCCTCGCCCTCGCTTCAATTAGATGGAAGTGGAAATGGCAGTGGCATGGCAGGACCTCGAGTCCTTTGCCATTGGCTGGCTGCAATGGTTAAAATCGAATTAAGCCACGGTGTCGCATACTTTTGATCTCCCCCGTCAGCCAATGAAATGTTGCACTGCTCGTCGAAATGTCCTTACATTGTCCTTGCCGCCCCAACGGAGGTATCTCCTCCTCGTCTCGGACCATTTCAATTTCGGTTTGCTTCTCGCAAATGAAATTAAACGAAGATTAGTCGTGTGCTCGCTAGATTATTCCGAGAAATAAAAATCCAGCAGCTAGAAGACAACCAGCGTTCATTATTTTTTCGTTTTCGTTTAGCTGGCTGCCGCGGCGGGGGTGGCGTTGGCGGCTTTTCCTCGGCGCTTATTTTTATTTGTATTTTCCATTCGCCCAGGCGTGGTGCTCGCTTTTTTTATGGCCCCTTGAGGTGATTTGCCCAAGTTCGCCGTCCCCATTTCGGGAAGAGTCTTAGGGGGGCTCCTTCCTTTTAGGGTGTCACATTAGTGGAGCTGGAAATCTGGGCAAATCACAAGCTACATTTAACCCGCAAATGATGGCCGGCTTTGGCATCAGCTGCAATTTATGAAAGAGTTTCGGGGCACCGAATCCTGGCTAATGAAGGGAAATTAGAAGGAGGCTTAGGGAAATCTTTCACAGGAATTCACTGGCTGAAGTGACTCTTAAAAGAATCAAATTAAAATGAATATTTAAGTAAAATGAAGTTTAATTTAAACTTATAAAAAGAGTTGCCCTTTCTTACTTAAGGAGGTGAGGGCCCTCTGATAACCTCCCCCTTACCCTTTCCCCCTTCGTGTGTTCAATTAAAAAATGGCCACCATTAATTGCTAACCAATTTGCAGTCCAGGCACTTCCTTGCCGGCGTCTCAAGTGCTCTGTGCTGGATTTTCCCGATTTTCCTGCTGCCACTTTGATGAGCGGCAGTCCGTGTTGACATTTTCTGCATATTAATTGAAGACAAGGCCTGCTCTCTCCTCCCCTTTGTCCGTTTCCCTGTAACCTCGTCCACCCTTGGCTTAATTTGCGGTAAGTTCATTAAGTAATAAAACATAAATTTCGTTTTTTTCCCTTCGCCCCCTCCCCTTCAGCAAGTTCTTGATACTTTTCCCATTTTTTCTCGCCGCTTTTGTTGTTTTTTAATGCTTTGCATATTTCTTTAATGAATTAATTCTGTTTTGGTTTCTCGCCGGGTTCGGCTCTGTTGATTCACCGTTCACTGGACTTTGATAAAAAAAAGGCGCAAAGTCGCCGCGGCAATAAAACTGAGGAAAAGCGCCGGGGGATGGGCGGGCTTGGGTGTTGCGTTTAATTTATACGAAAATCATTAGGGGAAAGCGGCTGGCGGGGAAAACGCGTTTGTCGAGTGTTAATTATGCTCTGGCCGGCGAAACTTTTCTATCAATTTTCGGAAATATAAATTTGAGAGCGCAAAAACATGTTTTGCATATGAAAACGGAGATGTGGAAAACCGAGAAAAACAGGGAAAATGTTGCGCTTTTGAAAGCGCTTCTCCTCAGCGGCTAATTGCATACTCCTGGGGATTCCTCTACAGAAGATGAAAAACCGTTTCTCATCGAACGGCAATTGCGGAGAGACACTGGGAGGAAAAGGTAGTAAATTTCATTTCCATTTCATTGCAAAGTCGTTTCATAGAGAGAGACAGGCACCTCAGCTTGCTTTCTCTCAGTGTTTTTGGGGGATGGGTTGGCCTAGGGGTGTCAGGTTGTCAATCGCCCTGCCCGTTGTTTGTTGTCTCTGATTGTTGACATGCATTCCCGCAAATGAGCCGTGCAATTGTCGGGCTGCCTCCCATTGACAGCTCCCAGTTCGATCCTCATCCTGGGACCCGCGGGATTCGTCTCGAGTTTCAGAGAAGCGCAGTTTCATCTCCGGCTTCCCTGACTGACAACTGTCGGCTTCCATCTCGGGGTCCCGACACTGAAAAGTGTGACGATTTATTTGGCATATGGCACGGGGTGCCGCCTCGGAATCAATTGGTTTTCCTTTCAGGCAGATGATTCCTTAAAACTGCGACACGGGCATTGACAGCCTCAACTGGACATCATTAGTCTTGGCTGGGATTTCTATCTATTGCTAGTTGACTAGTCAGCGGTGTTTAATGGGTTTCCTTATAATATAGCCATTAATTATGCTCGAATTTTCCCCATTAACACTGTGCTTGGTGATAACATTCATCTGCCTGCTGATAAGAACTATTCCAGAACTTGAAAGTTAAGTGCTTTTTGGGTTTAACCGAATTTATTAAATTGGAAAAAGAAACCAATATACAAAAATATTTAAGAAGTCTTCTAGGAACACCAGAATAGTTATTGAGAAAGTAATTAATATTTAAAGATTATTAGTTTGAGGCACTAAAGGAAGTGAATATGCTCAGCTTTCTAGAGTAGAACCCTCCTATCACCATGATCCCATCTTATAGCCCGCAATCGAATTAATTTCAGTCCGAGTCCGACTTTCAATCCGCCATGTTGCGTCTGAGCTGGCTGCTGCCAACGATCGCCTTTGTTCTGGGCCTGGCCCCCATCTCCGGGGAGATAGTCAACTTCCAGACGTGCGAGGACAGTGTGGACACCTGCTCGATCCACCAGGTTAGGGTGACGCCCTGTCCGGAGGCCCTTAACAATGCTGCCTGCCGCATTCGGCGGAGGCACAGGTTCACGATGAGCTTCGACTTCACTCCCAACTTCGATGCCGACTCACTGGATGCCAGCTTGGGCTGGGCCAAGTCCGAGACTGTGGAGCTCCCGCTGCTCTCCATGGATCGCGAGGCCTGCAAGTACACCACCTGCCCCGTGAGGTCCGGAGTGACGCAGACCTACACCAACAACATGCTCGCCGATGCCAGGTTCCCCCTGAGTCCTTACACCATTCGTTGGGCCCTCAAGGATCCTGTCACAGGGAAGCGCTGCTGCTTCACCCACGACATCAAGGTGGTGCGCTAGGAGAACTCCTAGACTTTGGTATTTAGTTTAGAAATGTTTTTTTTTCCTTAAATATACAAAGCACTGAATGAACATATCCCAAATGAGAAGGATTTTTGACTTGTCTTCGGGTTTCTCAATCTATTCTCTCGATTAATTTCATATTCCTACTGTTGATTACTGCCTTTGAACTTCTCCTTCCCTATATTATAACTTTTAATTAGACTCATTTCACCTTGATTCTCTCAGCATGGTGACACAGAAAGCGGAATGCGGCTGATTAGCAAGGCAGTTTTCTTATTCTGTGACTAATTAGGTAGAGTATTGAGACTAACAGGACGGTTTTTACTCTACAAAAAGTTGGTTTCCTATTTGTAGTCTAAAATCAGAACAAATATTAATATTTTATCTCAACGCTTAAGTTGATCTCCGAAAGTGGTTCTTGAAAACAGTCCTTGTAAACTTCATGTTGATTTATTTTCGAAAATGATTTAAAACTCAAGTAGTGTTATGTTTTTGATCGAAACTTTCCGAAATGTGTCACGCAGTGAGGGCCCTCCTCGGCACCCTAACACTCTGAGTACATTCCGATAAGGAAAGCCAATCTTATCAGCCGAGACACGGCCTATGTTCGTAGGCACAGATGTGACCCGCTTGATGGGGTCACACGGGTCCGGGTCCGGCGATAAGCCCGCTTTTGATTGAGAGTCCGTAGTCGGAGTGCCTGCATTCGCAGTCCGACTTTCGATCCACCATGTTGCGTCTGAGCTCGCTGCTGGCCGTTGCCTTCGCCTGCGTCCTGATCTCGGGGTCCGTTTCCGGCGAGGTGATCAACTTCCAACCTTGCGAGGACAGTGTGGACACCTGTACCATCCAGCAGGTCCGCGTTACACCCTGTCCGGAGGCACTTCAAAATAAGGCCTGCAACATTCGCCGCAGACGCACCTCCGAGATGAGCTTCGATTTCACACCCCATTTCGATGCCGATACCCTCGAAGCGAGCTTGGGTTGGGCTAAGTCGGAGACTGTGGAGCTGCCTCTCATCACCATGGACCGAGAGGGCTGCAAGTACACCAACTGCCCCGTGAGGTCAGGAGTCACCCAGACCTACACCACCGCGGTGCCCATCGAGGCCAAGTTTCCCCTGAGTCCCTACACCATCCGTTGGGCCCTGAAGGATCCCGTCTCCGGAAAGCGCTGTTGCTTCACCCACGACATCAAGGTGGTGCGCTAGGAGGAGGTTGTGACTCGCATGGTCAAGAAGGCCCCTTTTGATATCTGCCCGACAAATTTAGGAATTTGATTCATACTTTTGTTTCCGTTTTCTAAAGTGTTCAGTGAAATGATTACTCTTCTTCGAATTAAAGAAACTTGCAAGTTTTTAAAGCTGTCAAACTGCGACTTTTATTCTTCTTTGTTAAGTTTTACAGAAAATACTTGTAAAAATATTCAAATCTCCTCTTAATTCTTCGCTCTCCTGATTGCAGGGAATAAATTTATTTTCTGTTAACGATTTAGTGCGTTTTTTAATTATTTGTGAGCAGGGTTACGGCCCACTGGGGACCACCTCGAGGAACAAAGATATTTGCTCCAATAATCATCAACCTGCTGGCGACTAATTTGGGCCCCAAGGCCCCGGGGGCAGCAGAAGGAAAATGTATAAAACTTTGATTGAACTTTTGGGTGCCATTAAAAAGTCGCTCTCCCGCCCCGTTCTGCACCGTCTTCGTCAGATTTCCTCGCCGGGTCTTATCAGCGTCGTCAAACAATTAAAAATTGAGCACTTAAGTTGTGGTCATAAAATCATTTGTTTTTCCCTTATTTTCTTCTCATTTTTTTCGGCGTTTTATTGTTTTTCTGCTCACATTTTTCAGTGGTGGAAAATTCAAATAGAAAATCACTTTTTCTACTCATTGTAACGGACGGTGAGGGTATATTGTTGTGCCTGGCATTTGGCTACTGGGTGTTAAGATAGTCAGGGAAATGGTTTATGAAGTAAGTTTTGACTCTAACAAACCATCTATACGAATGGTTTATCTTTCTCAACTTGAATATATATATTAATACCTATGCCCCGCCCCTTTGTAGTTAGTAGGTATCTCTCCTTCGACACATCTCAAACCACATCCTTGCCACTTAAGATTCTTCTGCGCTTCTTGTTTACCTAAACGAAAACGTAGCCATATTTCCAAAGTGGACGGGGAAACGGTCAGAAGTCTGATAGGCCTGACCCCAAAAAATAAGGCAAACAACGACAGACTCTTGAGCAAATAATAATAACAACGAGGGCAATCACAGAAAGGACTTTAAGAACACATTGTTACTCAATTTGGATGCTGGGAGTGCCGGGAAAGAGATTCAGAGTAGGGCATTGGCCTCGCCGTACTTCTTGCCCAGAACGTAGGGAGTTTTGGTGAGCTGCGAGATGATTTCGCATTTGACTTGCTCGAAGCAAGGTGTGGCATCCACGTAGACCACTTCCCGCCGCTGGCTGAGGTAGGCATTGAGAGCACGCTCACTTTTCCGGAACTGAGCCATCTGCCGGTCCAGGAAACTGATGTGAGCCTGAGGTCCTGGCGAGTAGCTATTGAGCAGGATTCGCATGCGGGCCATACGCTCGTCGATTTGCAGGAAGACCAAGCGGTTGGGCGGTACAGTGAAGCCCTCGAACAGCTCCTCGGCCTCGCACTTGTTATTCGGGTAATTGATCAGTATCCAACCCCTGTGCAGGGCATCCTCCTTGAGGAGCCTGTGCTGGATGAGGTTCCCCACTGCCTGGGACCTTAGGTAAACGCAATCCTTCTCAATAGCCTTCTGCAGCAGTCGGGTGTGTTCGTTCTGCCTCAGACTATTGATGCTATGATAGGCCAAGACATCGGCATCTAGTATCAGAAGGTTCCAGCGTTGGGCCAGCACATGAGCCAGGGACCTCCGACCCGATCCCGGCTTGCCATGCAGCACTATTCGGTGGTAGAAGCTTCCAGGCAGCTGGTAGAAATCCCCCTTCACTCCGCGATGGAAGGCATCCATGACTTTGGTATAAATCTCCACGCCAATCCGCCTAATGTTCTCGCCCATCCAGCGGCGCACATCTGTCACTCCGTCCGCCACGGAAATCTCCGCCAGGAGGCGGCTCATCACCTCCATCAGCTTGTGCTTCTCCAGGTAGTACATGAATCCCGCGCTGTACTCCACCAGCATGGATCGGTCTAAGGTGGTGGCCGTGGACATGGTGCTTACTTTCTTTCAAGGTGTTTTCAGAAGAGTTAACGAATTAATGAAAGTTAGTTTAAGGTTTTTAAGCCAAGCTAACTGAGTTCATGAGATCATGAATGTCTTCTAAGGGGCTTGCTGAGTTGTTTTCCCTATCGAAGGGTTACTTAATATCCTGTCTGCGCAAAGCCCTCTCTTCTGCCATGTCTTCTATATAGCCCATTTTTATAACGAGAGCTTAATGGAGAGCATTACCATTAAGACGACTGAGACTGGGACTTCTCTTATTGTTAAGATCATATTAATTGCTTCCGTTAGCATATTAGAAAATGGCGCGTACTTCCGGGCAGCTGGAGAGGATTTGGTAGCAGGGAGCTGAGAGGCCATATAATGGCCAACTAATGTCTTGCCAGAAAGCGGAGCCAAGAAAGGCCGGGCCAAGGCAAATTGGCCTCATATGAGAGTGCAGCTAGTTGGGTGACAATATTTTGCAGCGAATTATGACAGCTCCTTTGTCTTTTCCCCCCAAGAAGCATGAGGGGAATGAAGGGGAGAAGATGCCACCACCCCCAATGGGCCACATTAACAATTTAAAAAGCAGGGAGCCAAGACTACTAACGGTCTGCAAAGTGTTGCCAAAATGTCTGTCATACTTTATGCTGTCTTATGAGTTGCCCGGCATGTCCTGGCCAAAGCCAAGAATCCCCATAAGGATGCCTTGAATGCCTTCTTGGTGGGCGTTGTGGCTGTAGTGGTGGCTGAGTGGGCTAATAAAAACTAGCTTGCGATGAGATATTGCATCCTGTTGCTGTGTTCAGTGCTGCCCTGGCAGGACACTCTCCATATTGTTATGTCAAATATGCTGTTAATATCTTCCACACACTAATATCGCATCCTTTGCTCTTGGGTTTATCTTGGCTTGCCTCCTCCAGCTGGCGTCCAGGCGGAAGGCGGCAGAGACACGCCTTCGAAATGCATTCGGGAACGGATTTTAATTATATAAAAAACTCAAATTCAAAATATGAATTTGATTGTCGAGTGCTTTCGGCTGTGCCGCTGCCACAAAGAGCGAAACTTTTTAATTAAACTCAAAGCGAAGCGACGGCGGGCGATAACAGCCCGACAGCAGCTCGTCTCAGTGCTCCAAATTACATTTCGTCATTATGGCCAGCGTCCACATAGTCATATATATGTGTGAGATATATATCCTCCGATCCGGGTTCCTCTTCATTCTCTTTTAATCGCCAAAATTGTGGCACAAGCCACCGCCGCTGCCGCCGTCGTTTGACGCATCTCGCAGTTATCAGAGAAGAACTCGCGGATCGAGTCACGCAGCTGGGAGACAAGATGGCGCCCTGGAAATGCAAATTGCAAAATGGCAAACCGAATTCCTGAATGCCCTTAACAATAGAAAAGTAAATGATTTTTATCAATTTATTAAGTTTAAACCACATTTTGTGGGCATAGAAAATCTGAAATGTGGTTAAGAGCACTATTTTAGCCACATTTCCTTCTTTCCATTCACAATTTTACTAAGTAAACTTGCTACTAGAACCATTTTCACTCTGCACATTCTCCTGATATTGATTTCGATTGCTAAGTTATGGATACATATCCCACTAAAATGATATGCTATCTTTAAAAGAGTGAAAGTTCTGTTCTGAAAAGAGTTTTTTGGTATGAAAGACCTTTACAATTTCTAGAAGAGTACCCATATAATCCCTATTCCCTATTGTGGTTTGTGAAAAACTACGCAACAGATGAAGGCATGTAAAGAACGAAGATTGACTGCACATTGTGAAACTGGCACACGCGGAAAGACAAAGACCAGGGGCCAGAGGAGCTCCGTGACTTGGCTGATTTGAAGAAACTAAACGTACGAGTGTAGTAGAGCCGACCAACCTCATTATCCCATTGCCAACCGTTAAAAACCGAGTCGCAGTATGAAAGTGATAAGGAAAGTGACGTTCGGTGCTTGGCACGGCTGTCGAATAGGAGAAACCCGGTGGCACTGTGCACCGGAAACAAAAAGTGATAACAAAATTATTTGGAAGCTGTGGGTGTTATATGTCAAGCTATGCAACCTATTATTCAGATCAGTACTATGACTGATGAATTATTTTTCAGAGTGTGGACTCAGTTCTAGCTTAAGATAGTCGGCTGCTTTCAAGTTAGCCGACGACAGCGCTGGAGTTGATCGCAGTTCAGCTGCATCTTGGCTGCGATGCCGAGGCCTTATCGGGCCCGTCGCCTGGTGGACCTTATCGACTTCCTCCGAGGGCCCTGCCTCGGCGGGCCGGAAGTAATAAGCACCGTGTGCTTATCAATTTCACAATTGCACAGGGCTTTATCTTTGGCCAGCATAAAAAAGCCCGCTAAATGAGCGGGAGGTCCCTCCTTGGTCTTTCATCCTTTTCCTCCAACCGCAGAGCCCTCAACACTCAACGCCCAGCAATTAAAAATCATTTTTCATCTGCCGTTCACACAATTGCTAGTCAACTTTCCATTTTCCCCCAGAGGACACACGAATCTATGGCAAACAAAAAACCCAAACAAAAAAAAGAGAGAGTGGCAAACAAAGCCACACATCAACAGGCTGGAAAGTCGGGGGAGACGGGGCTTTGGGGTCCTGCATCACTTTGTCATGCCGACAATTTGCTGCCAATATTTTGCCAATTTTTTCTGGTGCGGATTCCTCCGACGGTTTGCCTTCAATTATGCAGCAATTGAAAAATTACTACGTGTACAACAATTTCGGTTTCAGTTCAGTTTTTTATCGTGGAATTAACAGGGAAAAGGAAAGGGGTTGAGGGTTCATTTTAGGCTGGCGGACAACAGGTTTAAATTTGTCACCGCAACGACAAACATGACAAACGCCAAATGAAGCGCAAATTTAATTACGCAATTTTACTGGATTAACGGGGAATGCAACCTGAAATGCGGATAAAAACAAATTTAAATATGCCGCACACATGTGCCTCGGCATCAGGTTCACCCTTTCCACCTTGCTTTGGTCCACCCCATGAGAGCTCTTTGGCCCGGTCAGAAGCCGTCTAGTCGCGTAGGTGAGTCGTAAATTTACGCGCCATTGTTGGCAGATTTGTACCCTCTCCCTTGGTCTTCTTAACCCCTTGTTGACGCCAATGTTGGACACCTCCTCCCCATCTCCCCCGCCCCCTCTGCACGTGTGTGTGGGTGTGTGTGTGTTATCTTCCTTTTTTGGCCTTTTCACTTATGCAAACGGAACATTTGAAAAATATGTTGGCAGGATAAACAGCAGGGCCACAAAGTGCAGCTGATGCCCAGACGAACTGGCCTCTCCAGACTGCTTTCTGCCGCCCTGACATTTTAATGAGCATGCAACGCTGCAACGTGCGGCCCTTGCCCCTCTTTTTTTTTACAGAGGAAACAAAAGGAATTTTGAGCTACCAAAATTGATTTTGAAAAAGGTTTATACCTTATCAGAGCCTTTACATATGATTATTATTAAACCTTTAAGATCTCTTCAACTTTTAAGTTACAAAACTCTCCAATAAGAACTTTCTCTCAGTGCATCCACCCATTTTTCACACCCACTCTTGGCCGGCCAGCATCCTTGTTAAATTCATTAGTAAAACGTTGCACCTTCAGCGCAATTTGCAGGCAGAGATAGAGGGTCCGTAGCACACGTCTGTTTGGCCTGATGTTGCCACACAGCACACACGAAATTAAAACCCCCCATCCCTCCGGAGACCTCCTCCCGAAAAACCACCCGCAACAAGAATAACAACAAAAACAACAACATCCCCACCATGAGCAGGCAGACAACATGACATGATACCGATACTAAACTGACACTTTGACATGGACTTAACCCTAAAAACGCTTTGTTGGCTTTATTGGTGTCGGTTGCCCTGCTCTCTGGCCTCCTTCCTCCGCTCTCCCTCTGATATATCCAACTGCCACTGGAGGTTTTTGGGGGGTTAATGTGGGGTCCAGCGAGGTACACAGCAAGGTATCCACTTGATTTTTGCACTAATTTACGTGGATTAAGCGCTCGACGTGGCCGTGTGACCTGGGTATTAAGCTTAAATACCTTTTAATTGACAATTTGTGTTTGGCCATTTGATGCCTGATTTTGTTTATTTATTGTGGGTGAGTGTGTGAGTGTGTGTGGCGGCTCATTAAATGTGTTTAACGGGGAACAGGAGCTGGAAAGAGGAAACTCAAATTAATCTCTGGGCTAAATCTTACTAACTAATTCAGGTTGTAAATTAAAGTTAAAGTTTATGTTGGACTTTATGAAAAAGTAAATTTATTCAATTCTCTTTCTGAAAAATCGAAGATCTTTGATTAAACTTTTGCCCTCCACCTCCTTTTACTATCCAATTAACCTTCGGTCAGAACTTTTCCATTTCTTTCGGAGTGAAATTCCCTCAGCTGCAGGTGAAGCTTGTCCTCATTTGTATGCCACTAAACTGTGGAAAAACTTTCCCTTCAGATCAAGAATTGTGTGAAATCAAACGCCCCTTCCCCTTGCCCAGTTACCTCGATCCATCAGCTGCAAGTTGTTCGGCGAAAAGCTGAAAAGTCTCGCCACACAAGCGAAAAGTTGCACAAAAAATAGCTTAAATCAGCGATTTTTTTGATGGTAACTGGGGGTAGGGTGCTCAGGGGGCCTGGCCAGTCAGCCGCTTAAGCCGCCGCACGGTGCAGCGTCGTCTAATTGAACCCAACAGATATTTTCAATTAGCAGCAAAACATTTGTGAGCTAAAAAAGTTTTATTTAATTTTTTCTCTCCCGGCTTTTCCTTGTTGCCTGCACCTTGAGCTCAAGGACTTGGGAGTTGAGAAACGGGAAGTGAATTCCTGCGGGCCAAACACGTCCTGGCGCCAATAAAAAAAGGCACCTTAGTGCACAGAACTTTGGCCGCCGGCGGCGGACAAACTTTTTAATGCCATTAAAGGACGAAAAAATGACGCTACAAGACGTGAAAAGTTTGCCACCGCCCAAAAGGTAAGCCAGAAAAAATAGCCAACCAGACTGGACAGGATGTATATATATCCCGTAAGGCTATATAA